TAACCACTATTTAATTAAAAAAAAAAAGCAATTTTATGTTCAGTTTTTCCCCCCTGCTGTACCGAAACTATACCGAACTGTGACGTTGCTCAAAACCGGGGTACGTACTGAACTGTCATGTTTGTGTACCATTACATGCCTAATTATAACATACTGTATATTATAAGTAAGCAATAACCTATCACAAAAGCAAATCGGTTGAATGAATGATTCTGTGACTCATTAAGTGATTTGCCACCACCTAGCCTACTGGTGGTTTTAGTGTCATTTTTAAAGGGGTCATATGATGCGATTTCAAGTTTTCCTTTCTCTTTGGAGTGTTACAAGCTGTTCGTGAATAGATAAGATCCCTAAAGTTGCAAAGACTAAAGCCACAAACCCAAAGAGATATTCTTTATAAAAGTTAAGACTCGTCCACACCCTCCTAAAACGGCTCGTTCTAACACGCCACCACATGTCTACGTCACTGTAGATTTGCATAACGCCACCCAAATGTTCACGCAAAGAAAGAAGGCGTAACTTTGATTCTCGCTGTAGTATTGTTACCGCCGCCGCCATGTCTTGGAGACGCTGTGTGTTTTGTTGTGAAAGCGAAACTACTTTGTTTGGCCTTCCAAAAGAGGACACAACTAGAAATCAGTGGTTAAGTTGTATTTACAACACTGTTCCAGAACAGTTCAAACCAAATATTCAGATGTGCGCATTTTACGGAGGACAAGGACTGTTTTCTGGGAGAGTAGCCTAAAAAATGAGGGGTAAAAAGGGTAAAAGACTGTAAAAATGCTACAGTAAAAACCTGTTAAATGGTTAACGGTAAATTCCCCTACTATATACGGTGTCTTGGGATGTTTAGCCCAAGTCAGTCACAACAGCAGCCACAAGTGTGAACTTACAACACATAGCATGAAAGCACAGTTTCCATGCCATAGAGCAAACAATAAATATCCAAAATAAATAAGTCCATAATAAATAATCCTTTGAATATTTAAAAAAAAAAAAAATAGATGTCAATACTGCGGAGGAGAGTTTCAGAGTCACATTCTTGCATTGCAGGATTCAAAGAGGTAGTGGAAGAGAATAATCGTCTCTCCGACTGCTTTGTTATGAGTTTTCTGAAAAATAAAAACAATGAGTATTAAAGGCATTCTCAACTCAACTCAACTCAAATTTTATTTATGAAGCACTTTCAAAACCATTAAAATGGACCAAAGTGATAATTCATGCAAACATAAAATAACAACAAGACATAACATCAAGAAAATCATGCAGCCAATCCCTCACAATTCTCCGACCTAATCAAACGCCGAAAGCTTGATCAAATAAGTAGGCCTTTTTAAAAATGTCCATGCTTGACGAGGATTTTATAGATAATGGTAACACATTGCAGAGTGCAGGAGCCGCAACAGACAAAGCACGGTCTCCACTACGCCTCAACCGAGACCGTGGGACGGTTAGAAGCATATTCTGAGAGGAGCGCAGATGACGTTAATGAGTGGTAAGGGATTAACATGTCCTTTATATACTCAAGGCATGCAGAAGAACACATTTAATATTGATTGAGCACTGAATTAAAATATCGACTTACCTCATATTCATGTTCACTGGCAGTTTTATAGTTCTTCTCGAATTCCTTAACATGCACATTGTCTGCGTAGTCGCCGCTTCCCTGTAAAAACAGAATGTTTAAGTACAAAGCACATAACGGCTGATCAGCTGGTTAAAATGATCAAACAGTTTTTGAACACTTACACAGTGTGGCTTCAAAATATGTGCGATCCTCTGCAGGTCAGACCTCACAAAACGAATGTGGGGGTATTTTTTATCAACATGCTCATCTGCGTGCAAGATGTGCTTTAGATAGTAATTCAGGATCATGGCGTTGATGCAACAAGAATCCTCCTGCTGGAACAGAGATGATCATAATTTATAACATAAGTTTAATGCCATATATTAAGTACTTACTACACTGCCAAAAAAAAATCTAAAGCTGTAAATACAACAAAGATTATTGGGGTATGTTTTACAAGAAAATACAATTTCAGTCTTTCTACTTCAAAATGTTATGTTTAATTCCATTTGTTGCGCGTTTCTTTGTATTTAATTGTGAAATTTACTAGCAATTTTTAAGTGAAAATTGTTTTGATTAGGCACTAGCACATATTCCATTGCTACAAATATCTGTTCCGTTGTTATTGTTAACTTACTGCGAATTTGTATTGAATTATAGACTATGTGGTTCCTTTCAGTTCTATTTATTAGTACGTATTAGTGTCAACATCTTCTAGAGAATAAATGATGACTATAGTAGCAAAATAATTTGTATGTAAAGTAGTAATGATTATTGAATTGGTACTACATACTCCAAAAGTGAACAAATATTAATACTAATCACTATCTAGTGAATAAGTGCCATATATATATATATGAAGAGTTCAGATGCAAAAGCCTCTAAATGCCGTCTGAAATTTTCAGCTAAAATTAGCATTTTTATCAGGCTCCTATATTTATGTTCACTTTAATTGGATAGAAAATGACCTATACATTGCCATTAGAGTAAAATTTCTGAACCTAAACATAGGAGCCTGATAAAAATGCTCATTTTAGATGAAAATTTCAGACGGCATTT